ACGGCAATCTCTTCTTCTTCATCTTCATAGCCATCATAGACTGAGTATGGATTATAAGCTTCAGCCACTGTGGTACTCTTCTGGAATCGGGTATCTCCGCGCATACTCTAGAATTGGCTATTGAGTGCTGCCACTCGTTGAGCCAATTGACCCAAGTTGTCAAATTCTTGTCCTAGCAGCTTTTCTTTCCATGTTGGCAGCATTCCTTGAACGGCCAAAGCAGTTAGTTGATCATCAACCAAGTTTAATGAGAAGCATAAATTCCTAGTCTCTCGGAACCTCTGAAGAAACTCAGTGCCGATTCGTTAGTTTTATGCCTTATAGTTATCAAATCGGTAATCTTCTTTTCTCCAGTCCCAATATAAAAATATGTATGGAATTTCTTTTCTAGGTCAACCCAATTGGCAATGGAGTTGACTGGCAGTGATGAAAACCAAGTGAAGGCTAGCCCTGACAGTGACAGGGAGAAGAAATGAACTCGATGGACCTCCTCAACTGATGCCTTGCCCAATTGTATAAGATATCGACTGACATGTTCTATTGTGCTTGTGCTATCTCTTCTAGTGAACTTAGCAAACTCTAGAAGCCTATAATTTGCAGGAAGAGCGACCAAATCATACCATTTTGGATATGGGCGTTTGTACGAAAAGGTCAACCTTTTTGGCTTCAGACCGAACTAATTCTTCATCATCTCGGTCACCTTTAGCAACAACTCGTCAGCATGTGAATTTGGATTTCTCTACACCTGTTGACCCATCTGTGGATTGAAATCTCATGTGCCTTGATACCCTGGATTTGGAATCATGTGAAGGGTGTTATAATATATGCCATAATGATACCCCTGTGGAATCTCTATCTGCTGGGTCCTTTGTTGGTTTGCTGCTTGAAGTCTCTGATTATAGACATGAGGATCTATATCTCTACGGATCCTTTGAATTGATGGTGCTATTTTTTGAGCTGACGATGGTATGTGGCCCGATGTACCAAAATTAATCACCTAGTTCTGACCTTGCCCCACCGGCTGTTGCACGTGCTGCACTAACGATCCAGAATTATACTATGTCTAATTTGTAGTAGTACCTTGAGCTTGTTTAGATGAACTCTAAATTGCCTGGACATCATCACCAGCTGGTGCTACTTCTTGATGGCTGGTACCGACTTGATTAGTCCCTTGGGTCGATGGATGTGGAATGTTGTAATAAGTCGCCCAACCTGACCAACTGGAAACCCATGAAACACCTCTTTCATGGCATTTTGGAATGTGTCCAAGAAGGCTTCATTATGGCTTGATATGGCATCACGAAAAGATTTGTTTACAACTTCCGTGAAGAAACACCCGTCTTCAGCTTCATCTGCATCTGACTGCCGTGCAATAGAACTCTTCGTAGTGGATATTTCTGAACAATTGTGTTGTCACGTGTTTTGGTGTAGGACAACAAATACTTGTTTTGAAACTCTTCTATAGCTTTGCTGATGATACCTTTATCTCCATCAGGTAGGTCTTCGTAATGTACCATAAGGATATCATTGTTGTTGTAAACCGCCATGACGATTGTGGGGTCCCACCGAGCGTGCCAGAACGTGTGTCGGCACGGAATTTCATCCCATGCCGAGGGCACACGAGCAAGCCGGAAGGGTCTGCTTGATGGAGCTATAGATCCGCCTGGCTTCAACGTAGGGGTGGTCAATCCTGCATACTCCTCTCGAGACGTGCCAGTCAATTTGACCCTGCAATTGACAAGGAGATAAAGCTAATCAGTAATTTAAAGTGAAACATGTCGGTGTTGCCAGACAGTCCCGAATGTGTGGCTCTGAGAGCCGATATGGAAGAAGATCGACTAAATAGTCGATTCTAGCATATTCATAAGAATAAATCAGTTAAAGCTCATGGGGTTGTATAAGAAAAATCGGTTATCATTTAGGATGAATATCGTTATTTAGACAAATATTAGTCAATGTCAATAAGATGTCAACAATAATCAGTTTATGCTAAGCCAATGACTACAAGTAATCAAATCCCTTTTATATAAAGAAGCAACTCATCATCATTTAACCATTTAATAAAGATAAATCTAATGAACATATTAGATCTCATCTATCGCTATGACCAGTGGGGCAAGAGGTAGAATCATGTAGGCCGTAGAAACAATAATAGATTTGACGACCCTAACTTATTACTAATATCAGTGGGGCATGAGGCAGAATCATGCAGGCCATAATACAATAATAAGATCATGGGACTAATATATCTTTCAACCTATCTTTACTTCAACGATCTCGTAACATGAACTGCATATGTGAAAGCACTCGATATCGGCTAAAACAGCTGATTCAGGCATAGCGCACAGTTAAGGTCATGTCTCATCAGGAATAGATCTACCAAATAACAATCCCCACTCCACGGTGCTAATAGTGGGGTGTGAGGCAGAATCACACAGGCCGTGATAATGGGCCATGGAACAATTTTTGTTAGCCAATAGATCCGTTTAAGACCGGTCATGCCTTAACCGCACGCTATGCATGATCAAGATTGACATAAAATAGCCGATAAAGCATAACTCATCATTCAAGGTACAGATTAGATCAGTTTAGATTAACAAACGATGGGTTAAATAGGATATAAGGCCGATCTAGATCAATCCCAATCGGACAAAGTGATATTGCTGTAATTAAATAAACAATGAAAGCAATAAACAACATCAGTAACTTAATGAATCTATCCGAAGGACGCCACCCTTAGATAGAGCCGATAACTTGACCTTAATCTAGTTCGAGCAGTGGAGGTCGACCGGATTGATGCGGCCGTACTTGAACTAAACAAGAGTCGATAACTAGCTTATAGCAGAGTCGCAGTGGAGGTCGATTGGATCGATGCAACCGTACGAACAGAAGTATAAGCCATGACGGTACTTACAGACAAGCCGGAAGTCGGCCGGACCGATGCAGCCCTGCTCTCTAAAGAACTCACCGAGATCTACTCTACTCCTACTCCTAAGGGGTGGCCAGAGCCGAAAAAAAGTAAGTAATTTGCATTAGATTGATTGTGTGTTTTACAATAGCCGAGGTCCAATATTTATACCATGGAGCCCAAACATGAATCCTACTCGAGCATGACTCATTACAATCTTCGGCATAGAAGAAAATATTCCTAATTTAAGATAACTTGGACCCTAATCTTTCCTTTTTGTAGAATTCGACATTTAGTTTCCTAGCGCCAACCGTAGCTCATCATCGTTATCTGCTGATGTCATCCAAAGAGATCCGATTCCGGAGTCATATCTGAATCAGCTGATATCGATCCTCATGCAATCGATTCCTTGATCGACACAATTTTGGAAGCTTCGAGTTCCCGCGTTTTTCTCTCCAAATTTTGGTGTAAACAGCTTGTAAACAAACATCTAAAATAGATGAAAACATTTTGAACAAACGCTTCCAACATTCATCTAAAACACTTGCAACATAAGCAACATGTGCAATATCCCGATTTACTTTTGCAACATCTATATGAAGCACTTGCAACGTACCTCTGAAACATCTAAAACATTTAAAACATACGCTTTCAATATGTGCTTTAAGTGTAGCGCAACATCTTCTTCCTGCTTGGAAGAATGGAGGCTCGTCGGCATGTGGAGTTCACTCGAGAGGCGGCGGCGGGCCGACGGTGGTGGCTGTGCGAAGCGGCAAGGAGGTAGCGCCCGCACAACTGGGAGAAGGGAGCCGGATCCGCCAGGGAGCCACTTGTGTCGGGCCTACCACGCTGGTCCGCACGTGATCGGAGCCGTCGGTACCGTTGCGCCGCTGTGTCGAGGGCCGGTCGGGCCTCCTCAACGTGGCCCGCTCACGCTGAGGCTGTTGTGCTGCTGTGCTGAGATGCTCACCCGCACCGCAGAGAGAGAGGGAGAGTAGAGCTAGAGGCACAAGAGAGAGGGGAGTGGTGGCTGATAAGGCACGCATGCGGCGCAGGCGGGTCAGGGTTGGGGTACAGGCGTGGGCAAGTCGGGTCCAGGTACAGGCATGGGCAGGTCACGGTGCGTCCGGATGGATGGACGTCCTCATCCTATCATTATCGATTCCTTTTCGCTTAATCACCTTAACCAAATAAAAATTAAGTTAAACATATTCCTCTCAACTAAATATGGAATGAAACCATCCTATCCCTAAAATTAGAGATGAAATCACCGTATCTCTAAGTGTTCCTAAACGAAACAAGCTAAGCATGAGACTCTGAAGTTTTTTTTTTTTTTTTTTTTTTTTTGGATAGGAGAGACTCTGTAGTCTGTAAGAAACCTAACAAACGGTGACAATAGGGCTTGTCAACGAGAGACGAGACCACAAACCTGTTGGCATTCTGTTGGGCCGTAAAACACAGCACGGCCCACTCACAGTCTCTCACACACACACACCCGAGTCCAGACTCCAGAGACGATACGGGCAGCTCGGTGCGGCGGCGCAGCCTCCCCAACAAGCCGCCGGGCGCCGGTCGCGGAGCTGGAGCTGCAGGGTCCCAGTCCCAAGAGGATGAGATTGGAGGACATCACAGCCGGTGAGCCCCCACCGCGGGCAACTGGAAGCCACAGAGGCGGTCAATCCCGGACCTACAACCATGGGCGGATCCAACGGTGGGGGGGGGGGGCTCGAGCCCCCCCTACCCATACACCCTATAGGGCCCCATGAATTTTTAGGCAAAGTTTTACAGTGCAGGGGGCCGAGACTTAAGATCGAGCAGTATGTGTTGTTCAGTCCCCCTAAAATATTTGCTGGATCCGCCGCTGCCTACAACCAACAGCAAAGAACTGCCGCCGCCGCCGCCGTCTGAAGCTGGTGGTGGCGGCGGCGGCGGCGGCGGCGAAGATGACGACATCGACGTCATCAGCGGCCTCCCCGATGCCGTCCTCGGTGAGATAGTTTCGCTTCTGTCCACCAAGGAAGCCGGTCGCACCTAAATCCTCGCCTCCCGGTGGCGCCACGTCCGGCTCGCCTTCCCTCTCGTCCTCGACAGAATGGACCTCTACGCTAAGCTCGAGGTCTACCCCCGCAACGATAAGAAGTTTACCGACGCCAACGAGGCCCTCGCCAGCGCGATCTCCCTCATCCTCTCCGCCCACCCGGGCCCCGTCCGCCGCTTCTGCGTCCCGCCGCACATTCTCCAGGACCGTCCCGCCACCGTGGACGCCTGGCTCAGCTCCCTGGCACTTGTCAACCTCCAGGAGCTTGATTTCTGGGATGGGAAAGATATGATATATAGGTATATGCAACCCTCTCCGTTGGCACCGCCACCTGCCTCTACTTTCAGGTTCTCGGCTACCCTGCTAGTTGCTACCTTCGGCAAATGCGAGGTCCTGGATAGCTCAGTGGAAGGGATTCACTTTCCCCACCTCAAGCAGCTCGGCCTTGAAGATGTCAGCATCTCCGAGGGCTCACTGCATACCATCATTTCCAGCTGCCCTGTCCTGGAGTGCCTGCTGCTTAAAGACATCTTTGGGGTTGGCTGCCTCCGGATTAGTTCCAGTAGCCTCAGAAGCATCGGTGTGGGTGTTGATCATCCTAGGGAGAATCTCCAGTTCTTACAGGAAGTCATAATTGTCGATGCCCCTTGTCTTGAAAGATTTCTCTATCTTGGCATGCCAATCAATTTAACTGTAATCTCGGCACCTAAACTGGAGACCTTAGGCTGTCTTATTGATGAATGGTTTCATCCTCCCAGGCTTGTGTTTGGCACCGCATCGATTCAGGTAGTCATGGCATTCTATTTTCCTCCCATGAAAAGGCTGTTGGTTTTGTTTTTCTGTTACACAGAGGTTTCATATCATCTGCATTTGCACATGGCTTGATGTTTTGTTCGATGCTTGATTCAGGGATTTAAAGTTGTAAGCTTGACAACGGCATTGAGCAATGTCAAGACTCTAGCCATCGCATCAGATTTTATTGATCTTGATACGGTCATTGAGTTGATGAAATGCTTTCCATGTCTGGAGAAGTTATACATAAAGGTGATAGTTCTTCAGTTACAGTTTCTGGATCACAATGTTCATATATTCTTTTTATTGACTTGGTGTTAATCCTTGTACCAATGTGGTTTGAGTTTCCCATTTTGACCTGTTTTGTTCTTCAGTCTTGTATTTCAGTGAAAATGAATCGATGGCGTCGTAAACACAGGGATTTCATTAAGAGCTTTGATATCCATCTCAAGACAATAGTGTTGAAGCAGTATCGAGGCATCAGATCACAAGTCAATTTTGCCTCATTCTTTGTACTGAATGCGAGAGAGTTAGAGTCAATGAGACTCGAAGTTGGAGCCAGTGATTGCAATGAGGCTTTTTTTGCAGAACAATATGGGATGCTTCAGATGGAAAAAAGGGCGTCGAGAGGTGCACAGTTACAGTTTACAAAAAAATTATGTACCCATCATATACATGTTGATAATGTCCATGATTTGTCTGTAGCAGACCCCTTCGAATGTAGATGGTCTTTCGCCTTGGTTTGGCGGCTCTCATTTTGTATTTGTCGGAACAACCGTTTCTCATGATTGTAGTGTTCTGAATATCTATTACCTGGAACTTGGGATATTTAAACAAAATATGCCCGTTCTTAGTTTATGCTATATGTTATAAACTGACTATAGTATAAATAGCAAATATGAGAGCCATGTACTATTGTGTAAGATTGCTGCAGTAGAATTTTTTTATTTCAAATTCTGAATATCAGCAACCTCCTCAGTAGATTTATGAAATCTTCATTTGGTACTACATATTAGTCTTGTAACTTCCAACTCAAGGAAGCAGTGCTGTCCGTAGTTAATCATCTCATGTGTCTTAGTTACAAAATCCCCAATTAGATGTTTCTTCTTATGGTTTCAGGGAAAGGCCTCCGTTTCTCCTTGTTTTGCCATAGCAGCAACCTCGCCAGAGCTCCGCCGCGCACCTCGCCGCGGTGCGGACTCTGCCGCGTCCTTTGGTCACCGCCGGTGCATTGATTGGTTCCCCCGTGATCCCAATTAGAGGAAAGGAGACACACTCGGCTCCAATCGCAGCCGTAGCCACCTCGCCACCATCTGCCGCCATCGCCGTGCCACTGCCGCCGCGGCCAGCCTCGGTTGAGCCCCCGCAGACACGTCTGGAGTAGTAGTCGCGTTCGTGGGAGCGCAAGGGAGCCGGCGAAGCTCGAGGGAGCCTTCCCGACACACCGTGGAACCCCACCGTCGACCTTGCGCCACCGTACCCCGCCGTGGAGCCTACGCCGGGCGCTGAAGTCACCAAGGCGCCGCCTTTAGCCCACCGGTGAACTCGCCGTGAGCCAGCAAAGCCGTAGAACCCCCTAGCAGCCCCGCCGAGTCACCACAGCGCGAGAACGGGTGGGCTCGCCACTGGCGAGAGCGCCGCCGCGGGAGGGGAGGAAGAGAGCTGCCGCGCCACTGTCGCCCCCGTGCACCCGGTGTGCCGTAGACCGAAGGAAGGAGGGAGAAAGGGTGGACGCGGTCCACCATGGACCGTGCCTGCGGTCCATGGACCCACGTGGCGTAGTCCACCCTGAGCCGCGCCCGTGGGCGTGAGCCCGTTAGCAGCCCACCAGCGCCACGTGGCCGCCTGCCTGTTTGACACGTGTCTGGGCCAGGACGACCCGAACCCGGCCCAACTCGGCCCGAATCCGTCCCACTAGGCCTAGTCCGAGCCCAGCCAACGTTGACCGTTGATCGGTCAACGCTGACCGTTGACCGACCCCACCTGTCAGTGACTCATCTGCCTCAGCCAATCACCGCCTGCCACGTGTCAGCCTCTAGTTTTTCCATTCCTTTTTCTTTTTCAAAATATGATTTAAAATTAGGAAATTCATAGAAAATTCATACGACTTCAGAAAAATATGAAACCAGAGTCCAAATTTTCTAAAAATGAGCTCTACGTCATAGGCTTATGTTTGAGTGCATTTGGATCTTTTAAATTTCCGTTGCTTCTTTGTGATCATCTATAGGACTCGCTTATTGCGGCTATATGTCTCGTTTGATAGACCCGAAGGAGCCGCAGACTGAGGAGCACGACCTCGACTACACTGAGGAGCTTGGAGATGACCTACCAGGTGCCACGTCCCACCCAACCTCGTAGAATCCTAGTAGACATGCTATAATGTATGTCACAGAACCGACCAATTTATAAGAGCATACGTACAATGGCAGCTCGCAAGCGGTCGCACTGTCATACTTGAGCCCATATAAACCCGGTAGTCTGTCGAGTACCACGATGGGTCTTGATAAATGATTCATATACAACCAAGATCGTACATGATTCAATATACATGTCACATATTACATAAAGTTCACAGATACATTTTCATCATCAGAGTACGGAATAAAGTTATTACAAACCAAGTTTGATAGATAATAGCGGAAGCAAATTAAGTTCGAAAGTAGCATTTGCCAACATAAGTCAAATACAGTGCCAACATATGATCACGATCCACAAAAGCATAATGGAGGGATTATTTAAGATGCTGGCCCAAGGCTTGCTCCTCATCCACGGCGGGATAAAAGCAATTCTTGCAATATTCATGACATACTGTGCCATCCGCAACAATGGGAATAAAACCCTGAGTACGAGAAGGTACTCAGCTAGACTTACCCATCATAAATCAGAAATAAATTAACTCCAAGGATTATGTAAGGCTGTATAAGTGGAGGTAGCTGACAACATTTTGCATAAAAAGCGATTAACTCAATTATACAATTATACTTCGGTAATCAAGTTAATTATAGCTATTCATCTCTAAATTAGCAACTATCCTGTGCCAAACATGTGGTATATCATTTTAAGAGCATACAATAGTAACCATAGCCGGTGTAGTAATTCTATCTTTATCCGAACCATCACATTCCATAATACAATTACTACAATGTTGCAGCTAGCCAAGTTTCTCACTATCCGGAGAGACAGCGATTCAAATCGATTTCAACCAGCTGAGAATTTATTCCTAACACAAACCTAGACAGACCAGATCATTAGTCGCCTTAGGTCACCTTTGATACAACTCAGGTACACATTTTGTGGGTTCATACAGCGCCACACAATTAGGGAATGATGGTAGCCAGGTCGCTCAAGCCATGCCTGGCCACGGTTCCGGACTAGGTTGCTCAGGTCATGCTTGCCCACGGTCTATTATCCGCTCCCCGTAGAGGGCGCACAATAGAATGAGGCCCGACCTGAGTTGAGCTACTCGGCTTCACGGTCGGAACAAGTTATCCGGCCAGCTAAGTGATAGGCATGCGTTCAATCTTATCAGAAGTGCCAACAACGGTACGGTCCTTAATCGACACAGACGGGGATAGATCCACACCCAAGACCTCCATGTCTTGTTGCTTCTCTATCGACATCCCACCCGTTCTCCATTTACATTACCCCATGGTCCTTTTCCATGATAGCAATATAGCCAACCGTGCTTCGGTATCCACCTATATCTCGCAGGTGATAGGAAATCACCCGACTTCTACCGATCTAAGCATGGCTAAGCATATGTTCGATCCTGGACCTACACAGGGTGAAAGGTGTATATCTCTGGACAAGGTAGTTCCATGCATCAAGTGTTTCCAGACAACTCTTATAACCTAATGCATCAATCATAAAGGACTCAAGTAACATTTTGTAAAACATTGGGAGACTTAGAATGCTTCGGGGCTTGCCTTTGAGAAAAGAAGTGGGGCGGTGATCTGGGCACTCAAGGAGCTCTTCTAGAGTCTGCTCCTCTTCTTCGGGAGCTGCGGCTTGAGGAGTCCCCTACTGATCCCCTTTCTCTTCTTCGTTGAATTCCAGCAACGTTATCTCCTCGGTTGATCCTATATGCATAATTATGGAATAAGATATCGCGAATGCATGTATGACAACACGTATAATATGATAAAAGGTGATGAATGCATCCTCGTAGGTATTTTCAATAGCATGGTGCTAAAGTAATGACAAGTGCATCCTATTTTACTGAGTAGGTGCATATCTTTTCTCTATTACTTAAGCAAATACTTTTGCAATTTATTTATCGAACTACCAAAACAGCAGCTACTTGTTTTAATCATAACTGGAGTTATATACATCACAATCATATGGTTATGGACATTATGGAAAGCTTATGAAATTGTCTACAACTTTGTTTTAATACTCTTAAGGTGATTCAACAGTTATCTAGGTGAAACAATTCAGTCAATCAAATCTGTCCGGAAAGTAAACATTTCAGACAGCAAACTTGTAACAGCTAGAACTCTTAAACCCTAAGGCCTATGACTATGAAAATTTAACACAAGGTATATTAGTAAGTTATCTACAACTTTGTTATTAACATGTTTTACAACAAAGATCATTATCCACATGAAATCACCCACACAATTAAAACTATACATGTAACCATCTATTTGAATTACAAAGTAACAATTAATTAGTTGCATACAACCAATTGCTTCTAAGCCTTACTATGAACACCAACAGTTACTATGCATCACAAGCACCATAGAAAACATCATGGTCAATCACAATTTAATTACTTAAATGCCCTTATTAATTTAATTAAATAATTAGGGGAAATAACAAACATACACCAAATGTGCATAATAAATTCTTATAAAATTATAGTGGCCTCCTAGTGCTCACAATAGACTACTGTGAAAATTTCATACCATTTGCACATGTATAACATCCTTTACAAAAAATGACAAGCTAGCAAGGCTTAAAATAGCATAAATAGGAAACCCCATTGAAAAGTGTCAAACAATAGATTATATATTTTCCTAGCTTCATATTAGTGCCATACTACTGTACAAAAATTTTTGATAGCAATATGTTGCATATTTTTATCCAAATGATTTTCTTTAGAAAATGCCATTTATTAAGAGATAAATAGAAATATCATATTGCAATCAAGTTTACAACAAGTTTATTATTTTGCCTAGATAGAGCATGTCAACACAAGTCTAACAAAATTAGAATCTCAATTTTATGAGTTTTCTAGCTTAAGATATCTAATTTACAAATTCACTAACATTCAAAAAGTACTTATTTAAATACATTTTAATCACCAAGAAAAATATTAGAAACTGTACATTTCATATTTTTACAAAACACTACACTTCATAAGGAGCACAACAAAATTTGGTTCACAAGAATTGGATCTCTAGAACTCCACTTATCATTTTTCAAAGT